AATGGCAGGCTCCAAGATCGACAGTCGGCCTCCTAGAAGATCAAACGACGGCCAAGATGGCCGCTCTCGATGGCAGCGAGACGGTAGCGCTGGGGAAAAGCGGCGACGCACATGCGATCGCCTGGCAGCCCGAGCCCGGCAAAGACTGGCGCCGGCCAGTCGGCGCGCAGCGGGGCGGCGGCCGCGCGGTGGCGGAGGCGGCGACTATCACATGCACGATGCGAAATGTGGCCGAAAGCGTCGCGCCCGAAGACGCGCCGCCGCGCCCTCGCGCCCTGCGCCCCGCGGCCCGCGCGGTCGCAAAGGGGGGGAGAGACCGCGGCGCCCTTGAGAGAGCCCCGGCCCACCTGCCCCGCCCATTTCGTGAGGCGCTGCTCGAGCAGGCTCTGGAGGGCGAAGATGCGCTGCCACTTGGGCCTCGGGAGCGACGACCCTTCGCGGAAACGCAACAGATCCCTCGAGGCCCTGGCGCGGAGCCGTCGATTCCTGGGGGGCCCGTTGACCGCAGACCCCAGACGCAGAACAGGCGAGGTCGGCGGCCAGAAGGAGGGGGTGAGGAGAGGAGAGCGCCAGGGGGACATCGGGCATCGTTCGACAAGGCCGTCCCTGAGCATGCGAAGAGCGCGCCGCCGCTGCGGGACCGGGGCGAGGGCGGCGCGCGCGACGTCGGCGCGGTCAGCGGGGGGCCGCGGAGCTGCCCGAGATTAAACCAGACCGAATGCCGCAAAGATTGCAGGGGTCACCTAAAGATCTGGGCCAGAAGCTGCCGTTCGATTTTGGCCACGGACCAAAGAGCGAAGACGACTCGGGCAACGCGGGATGGCGCGCTGAGAGCCCGCTGTTGAGATTGCTGGAGACCCGCTCCAAGATCCCGACGATCATCGGCGATGGCCCTAGTTCTCACCGCCTACTTCTTGAACGGAGCTCGCAGGATTCGCTCGGGCTCGACCCCGGGGCCCAACCAGAAACCGAAGTTCAACCTTGGAAGCAACGTCGAATGCCTCCCAGCGGGCGATGCCACGCGGCATGGCGCCCTCGGCCCTGGGAACGCTGGCGCGGGCCGAGACGTTCCTTTCACGCGCTTTCAGCTCATCGCATGCGACCGAAAGCAAAGGCACAACACAGCATTTAGAGACTTCCAGGACATGCCCACCGAGACACCCGGCGTCGCGAAACGCCCGCGCCATTCTGCGGCATCCTCTTGGGTCCTCAGGACGACGGTGGCGTCGTCGGCGCAAGCCCGAACCTGGCCGCGCCCGGGGGCCTGGGCGCTCCGATGCATATCGAACACGGGGCAGTCAGCAGCAATGACGAATAGGCCGATCATGAAGGACATCAGAGAGGACGCCAGAGGGGCCAACGAACGGGTAGCGTTGGACAACGAACAGGCACCATTGGTTAGCTAACGGGCATGAGGACAACGAGCGGGCATCATTGGAGGACATCAGAGATCACGAAGAAGAGGCAGTCGAAGAGGCAGGAGAAGACGCCGGGAGCGGGGCGGGGACAGACATTGCGATGGCAAAAGCCCTCGGGCGACGAGCTTGCAACCGCGCGGGAGCTGAATCTCACCCTGTTCCATCATCAACCACTGCTGACTGGGCTCGTGAGAAGCCGGAGGCGAGAGGCGACGCAATCCGAATGGCCTGGGCGCTAGTCTGTCGAGCGCGCGCATCTAACTCGTAGGTGCTAGCTGCAAAGTTACGGCCGCATGCGATGCCGCCTTGGAGGGGGGGGGGGGGGGGCGCATACCTCCGACAGCCTCAGACAGGCCAAGTCCGGCAATCCGAGCGACCACTTCATTTGACATGCATATGAAGCCACTGGGGAGAATGTCGCGACCGCGTCGGACCGCGCCTCCCGCGCGCCCATCATCCCCGCCCAGGGCCCCCCAGGGGGTGAAGGCACGGAGACATGAATAAAACGACAGGGGCGCGAACAGGCGCTGGGCAAGCCAGCGGGCGACATTCGACAGCGCGCGAGGCCCCTGACCAGAGCGCCAGGAGGAAGAGGCGAGCCCGTCAGGGCCTGGTTCGGTGCGAAGGGCCCGCCTGAGGAACCTGCGAACGGTGGCCCGCGCCCGGGTCGGTGGCGGGGGCCCGCTGGAATCCTTCTTCGGCGCGAACTTTGACAAGTATCTTTTGCCCCGCGCAGGAACATACAACTGCTCTCAGAAATCGAGCACCAGCACGAGCGAAGAGTCGCAGCCTGGCCCTCGGCAGAAGTCGAGACCTCCCCCGACCCCCCCGTCCACGACTCTCGCCGGGCACCCCCGCCGATTCGGGGTCGACCACAGCGCGGCCCGCCCCGGAAGAGCCTTCTGCCGGGCCCCGCATCTGGAGCGCCCCCCAAGGGCCTGCCGGGCACCCCCGGCCCCCTGAAGCCTCCAGCCCTCGGCCCGGCATTCCTGAAACTGGAGGCCCGAACGGTCGCGGACAAAGGCTTCGGGCGAGGCGAGGTGGAGAAACGACGACGACGCGCCAATCGCGACGAACGAGCGAAGCCAGGAGTGCCTTGGCCAAGGAAGCTCGCCCACATGAAAATCTCGACGCCCGACAGCCATGAGCAAGGGGGAGTAAGGGGCGCCTTCCACGCCGCCGCGGACGATCCCGAAGCGGGAGGTCACGGGCGGCGCGGGCCGAGGCCCGCCGGCAGCGCGTCGCCATCTCCAGCTCCGATGGCGGGGAAAGGTAGCCGAACTCGCTGACGCCCGCCATCGCCTCGTATTCGGCCAGGATGGAAGGGCACAGGGGGTTCTGATAGATGCCCCGAGGGATCTTGGCCCGTCGAGCAGCCGCCTCGCCTTGCCGCCTTCGAGTCTGCCGCGAGACAATCAGCGTCGCATAGTCTGAGATCGGCGCATCGTGATTCTCATGCGGTCCTCCCTGGCACCCGTCGACCCTGGCTCCCGCCATTGAAGGGGCGCCGAAGTGGCCGATGCCAGGCGCGACCAGCTCCGTCGCGCGGCGGAACAGCTGCCGCCACCCTGCTTGGCCAGCGCGGGCTCGCCGCCCAGCGGGCGATCGATCAGCGGCGCGACCTGGCCGACCTTTGCGACCCCGCGCCCGTCGACCTCGAACGTGCGCCAGATGCGAGGTAGAGCGCTCGACCTCTTCATCAGCGATGTTGAAGTTTCCGAGCATGATGGGGCCGAACTTCGCGGGGTCTCTTTGACCCGGGCTGCTTGGTCTGCAAAAGAGCGCCGAACGCAAGCGAGTTTAGAACGCGAGATACGGCTATTGGGGACATTGCAATGAAACCGCCAGAAGCCCGCCACAAGACGCTGAAGCGAGAGGCAGATAACCCTGCCCGCGGCAATCTCCAGCGGCAACAAGTAGACGGACTCCGCAACCTGCGTGGGCACGATATGGCGCAGACACCTCCACAGTGACCAGGCGACGAGAAGACCCGAACTTCCCCACGAACGAGCGCAAGGGGCTCAGCGACCGCGTCACTAGGACCATGTACTTCCTGAACAGCTGCGACCGATGTTTTGTAGATGAGCGACTTGACACCTCCAGCCTTGTGAGCGGAAGCGGGGGAATTGAAATTCAGGAGGGCACGGCATTTCCAACTGCCGAAGGCCGTCTGTTCTTCCGAGAAGAACGCATGACCCACTCGACTCGACCTGCCGCGTTTGGAAGGCGGCCGCGGCGACGCGCTCAAGCTCGAGTCGCGAGGGCCCCAAGTCAGAAAGAGCACCCATATTCCACTGCATACGCGTCAGCTCCGAGTCATCGACCACCACCCTCGCAAGAACCCCCCAATCAATTGAGATAGCGCAAGCTTCCATATCCATAAACGCACGCTTCCCAAGACACTTCTGGACCTTGTCCCGCAAGTGTTTGGTAGCAGGTGGCGCGCTCCTATGCAATCTCAGACCTGTCACGATCAACGCTGGCATGGATTGGCGCGCGCCTTCCACCATATATGGGTACACTGAAGGAGCGCCACACTCCCTAAGCATCTCGCGGGAACACATGTCCCGGGCGCACACGCGGGACGCCAGTGGTGGGGCGCCCTGGGCCGCACGATCAAGCGCTTGCAAAGTTCCTCGGCTTCAACCTTTTGCTACGCTCCAGCTCAGAAGTGCCCACTCGCGATTCGATATGGTGCAAGCGCGCCTCATGTGGAAGCGTTGTTGCATGGACTTGTCGAGCGCAGCGACAAGCGGCTCGACCACACTGCTGAGGGTCTTGGGAACCTGGACCGACAGTGGTGATGCCTTCCGGCGCGGCCTGCGGCAACTCTGTGATGACATCCTTTTTGAACTGTTCCAACAGATCAGAAACCGGCACAGGGACCTCAGTAGTGCCAGCCCGCTCACGAAGATGCTGCGCCCAAGGGTGCGGCCCCTATTGCCACGGCGCGCCAGAGACGGCACATCGGAAAGCATGAGAGGGCCATCGACCGGTGTCGCAGAGCCCGTACCCTCACCAGCTGCAGCGGCGCGTTGAGCCTCGTGGTACTGGCGGATATGTCCCTGCTGACTGGCTGAAAACGTCGCGGGCCCCACGAAGTTGCCATCGACGAGAGCTGCCGCAGCGGAAATGTATCGATCGCGATATGACCCCCTCCCCAGGCTCCTGGAACGCCGAGAATCACTTGCTACAGAGCTGGAGGGATGATGCTGGGGTCGACTGCGACAACGCGAATGCCTCCCACGAGAGGAGCTCCTCGAACAGATAGTCGAAATGGGATCATCCCCGTCGTCTTTGCGCCTGCAGTTTACCCGCGTGGGCCGCTTGGGCCGACGCAAGTGTCATGTCTGTCGAGAAAAAACGTTGGTCTAGCCTCGGATCGGGGGTGTCCTCCTCTCTCTGCCCGAGGGACAACATCATTTTGAGCCAAAATGGCCACGGAGGAGGAAGAGGACGAGGAGGAGGAGGAGGAGGAGGAGGAGGAGAAGGAGGAGGACTGGGAGGAGAAAGAGGGGGAGAAGTGAACGAGGCGCCCGAACCGTCCGACCAGGGAGGCCCAGGAAAGCCGCAGCGGCCCACCCAGTCCAGCTCGCCGGGGCCCCCGAAGCTCGCCTCGAACTTGGTGTCCACCGGCGGCGCGCACCCCAGCTGGGAGTTCGGGGTGGGCATCGGTCGGCGTGGCGCCGAGGGGGGAAGTGAGCGAGAGATCCCAAGCCCCTCCTCCTCCCCCTCCTCCTCCTCATCCTCCTCCTCCCCCTACGTGCCCCTCTCCTCCTGCTTTCACTCCTCCCCATCCTCCCCACTTCCCCTCTCCCTCCGAATCCTCCTCCGAGGCCCCGAAATAAATGGCGCGGCCCTGTTTTTTACGTTTTCGACCTCCGAGGGGCCCTCAACGGGCCCAAGGACAGTCAACCAACGGCTCAGCATGAAAACCCTGTCCCAGGGAAGTTGTCCAGACCTCGCCCACGCACCGAAAACATCGGAGCGCTGGAAATCTAGGGAGAGGGGGCCAAAAGGGAAGTTGGAGGTGCGAAGTTTTCGGACGCTTTCGTTGGCTCTTGGATGTCTTGTGGCCTCGGGATACTTTCCAGCAGCTGCACTTCGCCATAGGCGTTCCAGGGGTGCCCAGATCGTCACGAGCAGCCGCCGAGGGCCCACGTCATGACGCGAAAGCCGACACTCCTCTCGGCAGGACAGGCCGTCTCAGAAGACGGCATGGTTTCTCAGAAGCCCTGGCGCCGTGTGCGAATCGGCGGATCGAGGAGCGCGAGCGGGAGATGCTGCCAAACGCAGCCGAAAATACAGACAACAGCAAGCTGGGTCTGAGAGCCAGGCTGGGAACGCCACGGCCAAGCAACCCCGTGGGAGGCCCGAGAAACGACGCTCGGCAACACCGCTAGCGGCACGCGACGTCTGCTGGGCAGAGCGCAAGCAGGAGAAAGAGGAAGAGGAGAGGGGAGGAAGAGAGGGGACGGATCCGTGTACAGATCCAGAGATGTACTGAAAGCATCGCGCGCTTCGCGCGCGCTCAAGCTGTGGTTGGTTACTGCGCACCCAGGCATTCGAAGGCGTTGCATGCCTCGAGTCTTGAGGCAGTGGCCAGCGCCATTCGGCATCTTCCCCCTCTCCCGCTTGTCCCCCGTGGCCCACGGCGCTGGCCCGCTCACGAGAGGCGGGAGACAGGGTGCACGGAGGCAGGAGCGAAGGGGCAGGATGACCCAGGATGACAAGGGAGGCAGGAGGAGGAGGAGGAGGAGGAGGCGGAGGAGGAGGAGGAGGCGGAGGAGGAGGAGGCGGAGGAGGAGGAGGCGGAGGAGGAGGAGGCGGAGGAGGAGGAGGAGGAGGCGGAGGAGGAGGCCACGGTGGGCCTCGGCCACGGGCAGACCCACGGACCCCAGTCTGGGGATCGGCCAGGAGACCGAAAGCGCCTCTCCTGAGGCCACTGCGGTCGTGGTGCCGGCGCCTTTCCTGCCTGAGCTGCCTGCCAGCACCACTGACTACCTGCCAGACCACCCCAACCCGACCCGAAGACCCGAATTTGACTCGAATTTCGGGTTGGGGGCCCCCCCCTCTGGAAATCGAGGGTAAATTTGGGCCTTCGGGTTGGGTTGGGGTGGTTTGGTGGGTGGTGAACCACACCCCAACCCAACCCGAAGTTCCAAGCTTCGGGTTGGGGGGGGCGTACGGGTTCCACATGTGCTGATCGACGTTCCGGGATGCCACCCCCCCTGGGCATGGAGGGCAACTTGGCGCATTCGGGTTGGGTTGGGCGTGTTCAGTAGGTAGTGAGGTCATGGCGCACCTCAGGACTTGGGCCAAAGGTGGCAACATTCAGCGTGGGCCTCCAAACACGGACCCCGTCACGAACCCCGCAGGAGGAACTGATTAAAACGCATCCTGCGTGGCGAAGATTGGGGTGATTCCAGCGCTGCAGCTGACGACGTCCGCTTCCAGCAATACAGCTGGTGATTGTCGAACTCAAATCCGCGAACCAACCACGACGCCTGGCACAAGTTCCGACCGGGTTAAGGCCAAGCCTCTGTATCCAACAAGCTGTCGCCGTCGCGTCGCGACCAATCCGGGCACAAGCCATCTGTGGAACTGGCGCGTGGGCGTCTGATCCACGGATCGAGGAAGGCACCTCCGAAATATGAGGCCAATGCCTCCTGATCTGGCATCGGGGCGCGCCGATTTCGCCTGGAAGCGGGACACTAGTCCAGGTTCGCGCTTCCTCGAGGAACCTCCCAGGTGGGGTCGTGGTGGACGAGGCAGAAGGATCGCGCCGAATCGTCGATGCATCAGCGACTTTGGCATGGAGACAACCGGACTCCACATCGAGCCGCAACGCCGATTCATCGGCGATGCTGCACGGTTGTTCGATCCCATCCTCTCTGACCCAATCGGGCTCCACATCGAGCCGCATCGCCGATGCATCGGCGATGCGGCGCGATCCTCCCGCCCCATCGGCTCTGACCCAGTCGGGCTCTACATCGAGCCGCATCGCCGATGCGGCGCGTTTCTCCGATCCCGTCTTCTCTGACCCAATCGGGCTCAACGTCGTGCCGCATCGCCGACGCATCGGCGATGCGGCGCGATCCTCCCACCCCGTCTGGGAGGCACAGATCCGCGAGACCAAGCTGCGGCCCTCCGGGCGACCCAACCCACGACTCCCCCAGACACACCCGCTGCCCGCGTCATCATGGGCAGCGGTTTCGCGACCCGTGCCCGCCAGCTCACGACCCAGCCTGGTGGAGGCATTGATGCGGGCACCTATCTTCGGCACTCGTGCCTCCCCGCCGTCGTCCCGTCTTGAGGGTCCCAAACCTAAATTTCCTACGGTATGGCCTGTTCAACCAGCGCTAGACTTCGCAGCCTGGGGCAAATGTGCAAGCCTCGGGGCTCCTCTTCCTCCTCCTCCTCCTCCTGCTCCTCCTCCTCTCCTCCT